AATTGTTTGCAAAATAATTGAAATCTATGAACTTAATTGCCATAAATTATAACTTTAAATTTGAGCTTATGATTACCATAATTTACATATTTATTTTAAATTTAATTGGCATGCAGGTATATAGGGTAGGGAGAGGGAGGATCTATCTAAATCAGTGTATAAGATGCTCAATTTAACAAGAACATATGAATTACTTAAGATTCTAGAAGTAAAGGATTGAATTAAAATCCCAATCTAATCTCTATGATCGATCATTCTCAAACGAAGTACGATGCATTTCCAAATGAACACTGAAATATTACAAATCAAAACTCCAAAATACAATTATTTCTCGATCTTGCTATGAAAAATGAAAATTATATATTATACGAGCTCAACAGTTTGCTGAATCAGCTAACGTTGACTTGACCCATTTAGCAGTTGTTTGTTCTGATTCCTCCATTGTTGCAGGGTCGCCGGCGGGCATAAGTTTCTTCAGCATAGCTCTCATAGTGGAGAAGTTATGCTGAGGAGGTGGTCCTTTGGTGAGGTCTGATCTTCTAGGCCCGCCACGACGTCGTCTGATCCAAAACAAACATTCAAGAGGATGAGAAAAGATTGTTAATTAGAGCCTGATCAAAGAGAAGACACCAAACGACGACGAATGGCCATCGCTGTGAAAGAAAATGATAAGAGAGAGATGGATCGGAGGAGGAGGAGGAAGAAGAAGAGAGAAAATATTGAAAGCTAAAAGTACTCACAGGATCAAGGATTGTTGAGAGTGTGGAATGAAGTTGAGAACTCGAACAAGATTTTCAGGCGAGAAATTTCCCAGTAGACGGTGAGACATAATGGTGAGGGAGATGAAGAGATCAAGATTTGTTGTGTCTCCGGTTTTGCTTGCTCACCAGCAGCTATGAGTGAAATGGAGAGTGATTTATAGAGTGAGTCATAAAATTAATTTAATATTGCAAAAGGGGACAGATCAGCCTTGTGCTGGTATTATTGAATGCATGGGTTCTGAAAATATAATTTATTATTTTCTTCATCTTAAATTATAAAATATTTTTAAGAGATATTTATCATTTTAAAATATAAGACACTTTAAAAAAAATTAAAATTTTATTAAATAGACTTATTCCAATACTACTCTTTCTCTCTCTATATTTAATACTAATTACTCACTCTATCCCTATATATAAGAAGTTTTTTAAATATTTTTTGTCCCTAAATATAAGATGTTGTTAGCATAGTTTTAATAAATGAACCATTACACTCTTATTAAATTAAAAAGAGAAAATAATAAGTATTCTCATTAATTTACTTTGAAAAAAGAGATTCATTTTTTATTTACAATAATTGAAGGCAAAATTGAAATGTTGCTATAATTTTAATTAGATAACTAACTTTTATTAGTTTACGTGATTCGGTTAAGAACAGTTCATACATAAGGACAGAGGAAGTAAGTGCAGATTTAAAGTTATTAAATGAAAGATATTTTTGAAAGTTTATATTTTTATTTTAAAAAATAAAATTATGAAATATATTTAATAAAGTTTATTAATATATAAAATTTTATTTAAAAATATTTTATAATTTAAAACAAGGAAGTATTTATCACACCTTCAACTTGCTCAGCGTTAGTGCTCTTTAGCATATAAATAAAATTGTGAGTATTAGAAGTCTTCGCTGACTCCTGTCTTTAGGCGTCATTCATAACCCAGTCTTTTCTTTTCCTTTTGTTTTTTTTGGGCCAAAGTCATTGATAACCCGGTCTGATATTAACGTACATGACAATGCTTTTATTTATTTATTTATTTTATTTAATAAAGTATTTCATCTTAAAATAAACATAACATGATTTATTTAATAAGGGTATTTTAAAAAAATTAATGATTATACCCTTGAAAGATAACATTCAATCTCTTAAAAAATACTTTATATTTTTAATCAGAGGGAGTAACTTACTAATGCCACAACTCTCAGCTACTACGTAGTTCTGACTGCTCCATTAAGCCTTGTTTGATACACATTTTTAAATTTTAAAAGATTGGAAAAAGGAATAGGAGTGGAAATAAGTTTTAAAACTATACTCCCTCTGTTTTCATTTATAGAAGAAACTATCACTTTTAGCTTTTTTTTTTGTATAAGCAAAATTACATTTTTTAATAAGTATTTATTATAAACTTTTTAAATTACCCCTCATAATTTTATCATTCATAGTCATAAGAAACAATTAATGAAGGGTATTATAATCCAATTCTTTTATTTTCAAACAGAATTAATGTAGTTAATCAATTTTTTTAAATTATGTGATATAGTTTTTTTCTACAAATAAAAACGGAGGGAGTATTTGGCAGTGTCCATGGGAATATCTAAATAATTTTTATTTTATACTCCCTCCAAAGTATAACACAAGTTATTGTTAATTAATTTATGTTATTAAAATAAATTGGTTAAAATCTTTATTTTTTAAAAAAAATCACATCTTTTCAATTGTGCCTTTAAATAGAATAAATATAAAATTTAATTATTTAAATATCTTTATTAATTACTTGAGTAGAATATAATAGTACTATATAATTGGAATATATATATATATATATAGCCTATCAAATATCCTATATTTTAGATCAAGTGAGGCTCCTAAAAAATACTTTGTATTGTGATCCAGAAAAAATATATGTAATCATCATTGCAAAAGACTATGCGAAGCAAATATCTAACAATAAGAGGGCTAGTATTAAAAAGCATATACACAAACCTTCTATAAATTTTGAGAAGCTAAAAACATGTAACCTCTATATAATATTAAAAAAATTTAAAAAACTTGGGAGCCACGGCCACTAAAAGAATATTAAAGAGAGAAAAAAAATATAATGGAATGACAATATTAAAAAATATTATTAATAAAATTTTATTTTTGTAAAAGTATCTTATATTTTTTAACATCAAATCATCCACAAATGTATCTTATAAATTGGGTTTAATAATTATTTTCATCCCTCAACTTTACTTGAAAGATTTGCGTACATTATAAACTCAACATGGCTCAATTGTCTCCCAATATTAAAAATTCTATATCTATATTTTTAAGTTTCTAACTGTATTTATTAATATTAATTAGTATTCACAATCTGTTCATAAAAAACTGTTTTAAATTGAAACAGATGGAGTAATTAGCAAGACTACCAAGTCCTGGGTCCCCGCACCTCATTACTGCTAGATACTCAAATTTTATGCCCACCAAAAAGAATTTCATTTAAGAACATGTAATCAGTTGAAAATGAAAATCAAAACATAAGGGTCAGAAAGTTTAATTTGGATTTATTTTAAGGATGAGACGCGAATGTGAAAACTTGACCTTCATGTTCAATTGAACGACTTTGACCATGATATTGTTATTGGGAAATAAGACCTTGACTGTTGACTTAAGCAATTATCATAGAATGAATCATGTTGTATTTTTAATAAGTGGATTATTTGCTACTATCTCCGTCTCATTTTGTAAAACATTTTTTAAAGTAATTTGATACTCTAAAATGTAAGATATTTTTTAAAAAGTATTTCATTAACTTTGACTATTCCAATATTACTTCTCATTATTTCATTTCTTAAATAAGTTTCTTTCACTCTTTTCTATTAATAAATGACATTTTTAAAAGTTTATAGAAAAATTAATATGATAAATTATATATAATAAAATTTATTCATATATGTGATTTTGCCAAAAACATATTTATAAAGTGAGATCATTGGAGTATTATAATGTAAAAACTTGTTTATTTTTTTAAAAATGCTCCCTCTTTTAGTAAGGATATTAAATGCGAGAATGAATTTGTTTATTTGGATTTCATTTAAGAACATGTGATCAGTTGAAAATGAAAACCAAAACATAAGGTCAAAAGTTTAATTTGAATATATTTTAAGGACGAGACGCGAATGTGAAAACTGGACCTTCATATTCAATTGAGCGACTTTGATTATGAAATTGTTATCAGGAAAGAGGATTTTGACCGTTGATTTAAGCAATTATCATAAAATAAATCATTTTGTATTTTTAATAAGTTATTTGCTAGTTGCCACTATCTCCATCTCATTTTGTAAAATGTTTTTTGAAATGATTTAGCATACCAAAATATAAGATATTTTTTTAAAAAGATTTCATTAATGATGATCATTCTAATATTACTTCTCATTATTTCACTTTTTAAATAAATTTCTTTCTATTTTTTAATAATAAATTATATTTTAAAATTTTATAAAAAATTAATATTATTGTATATAATAAAATTTATTATATATGTGATTTTGTCAAAACATATTTTATAAATTGAGATGAATGAAGTATTACAATAGTTAGTTAAAACTTTATTGGCATAACTGTTATATTGTTCTAAAAATAGTTAGTTAAAACTTTATTGGTATAACTACTTTATTGTTCTAAAAATAGTTAGTTAAAACTTTAATCTCCTAATTTTTTTTATATTTTTCTAATTATACTCTCATTATGTTAAAAATTCTGTTTAAGAACCTTATAATAATAATTGAAATTTAATGCATTGATTTTTTGAAACGAATAATAAATGATATATGGGTGTTGTTGGAAAAATAATCATAAAAATGACTCTGTTTTATATTTTGAACCAAGCATGACTTAAAACCTCAGCTAATTAACTTTGGACGCGATTCAGCTGAACCATAGTTAACGTTAATCGCAGTTAGATTATTGAAGCAAAAACTTCAAAATTATTAAAGAATGGAAAGCTATCGTCTGTGTAATTGTTGACATTTAGTGATGGAACAACTACCTGCTTTCAAAATTCTACTGATGTCACAATGTTTATTAATGATACTCTTCAAAAAATCCTTTGTCATGCGTCACCAAAGGTCCTACTGCAAACCAATTCTACGCTACTTGTGTCATGGTTTACGTCATAAACATAAGCATTTAATTCCATAGAATACTCTCTCTGTGTTAGGATATGCTATCAAATTTTTACCAAGTCGACGGTGGTGGCAATCCCCTCACACAGTTCATAGCAAACCATTTCTTGAGTTATCATGGATACCTTATTCCTCTCCCATATCTTCAATCTTTTGCTTCTGTTGGTACTAACATCTGCAATCATGTTCCACAAAGGCATGCATAGTTTGAGAGAACAGTGTCATGAAAGAGATCGCCGTGTCCTCCTAAACTTCAAACACACAATTGATGACCCATCATCCATCCTCTCTAGTTGGTCAGATGATGGCAGAGATTGTTGTGAGTGGGTTGGAATTCGGTGTGACAACGCCACAGGTAGGGTTATCAAACTCAATCTTCCTTGTTCTCTAGAAGCCTATGATTATGATTGTGAAGAGAAGAAATATCATTGTCTCGCAGATGAATTCTATCTATTATTGCTCCAAGTTTTTAATCTATCTTGATCTGAGCAATCATGACTTCCAAGCTATCATCCAACATGATTATGTTCCTTCGTATGATCAAAATTCTTCTAATCTTTTATTATTACCTTGACTTATCATATAATGAATTTTTCATTGATAGTCTTCATTGGCTTTATAATTTTTCCTCCTTGAAATACATCAACTTTAGTGGCATTAATCTTCATGGGAAAGTTGATTGGCTTCAAATAGCAACTTCACTTCCTTCCCTTTCAGAATTGCGCCTGGATAGTTGCCAACTTCAAAACATAAATCCATCTCTCCAGTATGTAAATTTTACTTCACTTGAAGTTCTTAGCCTTTCTGGTAATGCTTTTAACTCTGAATTCTTTCTAAACTGGTTATTCAAAGTGATGTCATCACCTCTGTCAACCTGAGCTATAATTATCTTCATGGCGAACTACCAAAGAGACTGTTGAATCTTCAAAAATTAAAAAGCTTGGATTTGCATGGCAATAAATTGAGTGGACCAATTCCAGCTTGGTTAGGCCAGCTTGAACACTTGCAAGTTTTTGATGTTAGTGAGAATTTAATTTCTGGCCCTATTCCTCCTGTTTTGGGAAATCTATCATCCTTGATTACTTTGAATCTCAATTCAAATAACGTAAATGGTAGTCTTCCAGAAAGTCTTGGACAGCTCTTGAACTTGGAGATGTTATCTTTTCATGATAATCACCTGATGGGGCATGTGTCTGAAAGAAATTTTGTCAGACTCTCAAATTTGAAAGTTCTTGGTATGGGATCTCCAAGCTTAATCTTTGACTTTGATTTGTTGTGGGTTCCTCCTTTTCAGCTGATAGAGTTACATTTGCTGCACATGGTGGATTCCATATTTCCTGAATGGATATACACACAAAAATCTCTTAAGTGTTAATAATTGTCTCCTCAAGTATTTCATTTCAGTCTCAAGATAACTTTTGGAATTTTGCAACACAGTTTGGATGCTTATGTTCATAAAATATTACAATTGCTTGGGAAATGTCTGATGTGTTACTGACTCCTCATACATAAATTTGAGTTATAATAAATTCAAAGGCAACCTCCCTCATTTATCACCAAATGTTCTCCCATTCAGCGTAAGAAATAACTCCTTTCAAGGATCTATTTCTTCATTATTGTGTCAAAAGATGAATGCAAGAAGCACATTAAGGTACCTGGACATGTCTAATAATCTCTTATCTGCAGGGGTTACAAATTTCTGGATGTATTGGAAAGCTGTAATGACCCAAAAGAATTTAAGTTAAATTAAAATTTATAATTATATAATTTAAATGTGCTTGTATTGTTTTTTGGTGTGGATTTAACAAGATGAATTGTTAGCTTAGTGGAAACTATTGCTGCTGTGCATTTAAAGAGATCTAGTTTTCGAATCCTTGTAGTGTGCATTATTTTCATGCTTCAGCCTTTATAAAATTATCATTTTGCCCCAATACCACCGGAATATTTTTTTGCTCTTTATTTTTTCTTTCTTTCCTCAATTCGGTTCCTTTTTTTCGAGTTCATTGAAAGAGCAAGAGGGTCTTGGAGAATCGAGAAGCGTCTAATCTCTGTCCTCTGCTGTCCTCCTTCGTTTGTAACTCACCCCGGCGTGGGCGTGTGTATCTGCCGTGACCGTCGTTGCTCTGCTTCACCCGTAAGTTTTTCATCATTCCTCTCTTCGTGCAACAGATGCTGAGCGTTCTCCTCCTTCCCCTGTTTCACAGCCAGGTCTTCTCTTTTCTCTTTGAGAAGCAACATCGATAGACATCTGCATGTTTTGCATCGTCGCCGTGTCCGGAGTCTGCTACTGTTGCAGGCTTGCAGCATTTTTGACAGTGAACACAGCTCCTCTGTTCTTTATTTCCTCCATCGATTCTCCTTCCTTCTTCATTTTTGTGCGGCTGTATTCCCTTCTTTCTTTGTCTTGCAGTCGCGAATTCAGTGTGAAGAAGCTACAAGCTGTTCCCTTCGGTCATCATCTATATTAGATGTTTTGGAGGAAGAGAAACTTGATTGGAGTTTAAACGAGGAAAATTTAGGATTAGAAGCACTGTAGATAAGTGGACAACGAACCAAATAATTTATTAAAAAATTTTCTTTTTATAAAAACATTACTTTCAAAAATTCAAAATATATATATATATATATATATATAACATCGTGTACTTTTTTTTTATTAAACAACTCTATTTCTTGAAATCATACCATACACTTGCAAGATTGATGAAACTGTTTTTAGAAATTTTATTAATTCTTTATTTAATAAAAAAATCATGAAAATTGGTAAAAGAGTTTTTGAAATATTGATTATCAATTTTCATAATTGGAAGATTGATTATTTTAATTAACTAATGCGAGTTTAATACTAAAAAGAGAAATTTATATTTTCAAAAGTGATTTTTTTCTTACATATTTGAAAATTAATTTTGAAGGGACTTTACATAGAATATTAGTTGCTAACAGCAATTTCGTTAACCTTTGGCACACTATGGTCAATGACTAGCTAGTTTAATTTTCTTGAGCTCTAGTCTCATGTTTGTTATTCATGAGTCTCTTACCTACGTTTGATTTCATGGTTTCGGCTACATTTAGTTAGTGTTACTTTCATGGATTGTGTGTTTACATATATTTTCATAATTCAGGTCGCATTTGATTACTTGGACAGTATGTCCACCTTTGTCTTTGTGGCATAACCTGTATTTAGTTAATTACTCTCGTGAATTATGTGTCCACATTTGTTAATTGTTTTGATAAGTCCCTAGAAACATGAGTTTTGATTATTTAGTGAATTTAGATTGCATTGGTTTTAATTAGTGATGTTATTATATTTATTTATTCCATTTATTTGTCTTCTTGAGATTAAGTGATAAAAATATTTGATATTATAAATTTAATGGTTAAGATTTTATTTATGGCTATATAGAATTTCTTAATTCCAAAGTTTATGAAATATTTTATATGAAGTTGTTGTCTCTTTAATTTTTATAATCATTGTTATTTATTCATTTTATCCTTTAAACTTCATAAATGTTGGGACGTTATTTGCTAGAAATTATTTTAGTCTCAGATACATTAGTTGATGTTGTACCTTTCGTTGACCATTGATGGGCTGTAGTATTTAATTAAAGTGAAGAATTGTAGATCAAACTTCCTTTAATGTAAACTTAAATCCATATATTATGTTTTACCTTTCTCTGACTATTGTCAAATGTTTCATATAAGTTGTAGTTAAGGTCCTCATTCTTATTATTTATATTTTTGTTATTTGCTTATGGAAATAGAGTCCCTTACTACTGCTATTGTTTTATAAAATGATTGTATATTTGTTTTTGAGAAGCTTCATTGAGAGGGGAGGTTTGCCGATTTTTTTATATAAAAAGTCTACAAAATTGTTTATTTATATAAAAATGTTGTAATAAATTTCAATTCTATTTCAAATGTATTAAAATATCATAGTAGAGTTTCTTTAATTAAAGCATAAAGAATGTATGTTTGCACTAGTACAAAATGGTCTTTTTACACCCCATGTCTACACCAGTTCACATGCATACAGTGTAGAATTAGGAAGCAGTGGTATTTTTATAAATAAATAAGTGAATGTAATGTTATATATATTGGTTCCGTACATAACCAGTATAGATGTATTAATATTTAGATCAGTTACAATACATGATCGATATAGTTATATATTCTAATTTTTTAAAAAATTAATTTTAATATACACTACCACAGAAAATACCCATACTTGACGCTTATTTTTCCCAATACTTGACGGTTTTTAACCATCAAGTAAGGGTGCGACATATATTAAAGAAATAATACTTGATGGTTTTTAACCGTCAAGTATTAATCTTATACTTGACGGTTATTTGAAAACAACCATCAAATATATGAAGTAAATATGCACTTTCCAGCATAAATACTTGACGCTTGTTTCAAAACAAGCGTCAAGTATTTACAAATACTTGATGCTTGTTTTGAAACAAGCGTTAAGTATTTTGATACTTGACGGTTATTTTGAAATAACCGTCAAGTATTAATGACATAATTTTTTTTATATGGTAGCTGCTTTTAAAGCAGCCCCCTGCATAAAGATACAGATAAAGATAAAAAACAGCCAGCCAGCAACAAAAATAATGCAATATAGTGAATGTTTGTAATAGTATCTCCTATCTAATTAACATAAAAATTCCTATACATTTAACCTTAAAACCTAAACTTATTTGCAAACTAATGTTTCAAAATTAAGTGGCCTATCCCATAAAAATTGGCCCAAAAATGTGTATATATATGTAACTAACTATTGTACCGGCCTAACTACTGTTGCTACCCACATATTGAAAACACATTGGGCCACATCTTCAAGGACCTCTTCTATATGTGCAGTCGTATAACGAACACAATAGACGTCCTCGAAGTACTGTAAGCAAATAGTTACAACAATTTCAAGTTAATAGGTAGCTAATTAAAATTGTTTAAAATTTATAATTGAAGTGTAATTAAATTTTATATATATACCTTGTTAGATAATGTGGTAGGGGAATGAGTGATAATGTCCTTCATGAACTTCATCAAGCAATAACCACAGTAATAGCTTTGATCTGGCTGGAATGGACACTATAAAAAAACACATATCAATGAAATTGCAAAATATAATGAGACAATTTCTTGATTGAAAACTTGACCAATTAAATGAATACCTTAACAGTGACCCATTTCTCTGAAGATTTGAATGCCCTCATCTTAGGGGACACAGTCATGTCGGTCGCAGTGCGATACAACACCACAGCTCTAAAAAGGAATTATGGAATGAATGTGAGAAATATATATGAATGAAAACTAAAATTAAAAAGAAATAACAAGTAAAAAAATCTAACTTATTCATTAAAAAGTACCACCATATCTTCCCTGTTGCTTGGCTCTCCATTAAGGGGATCGAGATACCATATATTTGGAGCAACGGGATTAACCACAATAAGCATCCAGTGTCCCCTAACAAGAAACAGCACATGTTACCAAACAAATAAATATAAAAAAATATTTACTCGTAACAAATATTAACAACTTACCCTTGGCAGTAAGGAGCGAGAAATAAAGTATCCTTCGCTGCTTCCCTTTCTCGAAATTGATCCGAAAGCATTCTTACTTGATTTTCAAGGGCTTCCTTTGTAATATTATTGTGGGGAGAGACATCATGAGGATTAACCAGCTTGATCTTTGACTCGAGGCCACCAGGAACCACGAATGAGGTATAAAGGTGACTTGGGTGAAAAAATATACAAGTTAATATGCTTGCATACTCACACACATAAATAATTCAAGAAATTAACTAATAAATGTTGAAGAATTACCTCATGTAGAAAGTCATCAAACTAGTACTCGCCATATCGTGCTTGAGAATTTCATTCAAAATTTCATCCCGAACGACTTCAAATGATGCTCTACCAAATAACCCATCGTCAAAATTAATAATATCCCCTATCGGCTCTTGACGAATCATCCTCGTAGCCAAAGCATAGGTCTCAAGAGAGTCACGGAATTTATTTTCTACAACAGGCATAGGTACTGCATGTTGCAAAACCGTAACTGACTCTTTAATATGGCCCGACACCTTATTCTTCAATTTGCTTTTCCCCCTTGGCTATACAATGAAAAAGTTAGACATATATATATATATATATTAAAGATTTTAAATAATTATATAAATCATATATACCTTTTTCTTTAGTGGCAAGGGGTCCTTTGGCGGCTTTGGGTCCTTTGTCGGCTTTGGTGTACCAACCATAACAAGGTGGCTGGGCCATGCAACGAAGCTCCCCAACGCATCTCCTACTGTCTGCATCTCATCAGTAGGATAAGGTAATGGATACTTGAGGTCGATTGCAACAAGCAAGG